AGAGAGAGAGAGAGAGAGAGAGAGAGAGAGAGAGAGAGAGAGAGAGAGAGAGAGAGAGAGAGAGAAGTGGGGGGAAGGGGGGAGGTGTGTGTGGGAGGGACGGTGCTTTGGAGATCAGGCCCTGCGCACACCGCATGTTGCTGGGTGCTGATCCGTATACATTTGAGATGATTTGACCAGTATAGATTCCATGAACCCCAGCGATTAGTCGCCTGCCTCAGGCGAAACCTCTGAGGCCTGAGCGCGTTCTGAAAGCATACTCACACTGGGACTTTATCTCCTACGTTCTAGACGTGATCTAGGGTCAATCCATCCAGGTCGCCAGTAATGGCAGTCAGATACATCAGAGAAAGTGCTAGTGTGTACATGTCCATGGAACACGATGAATGCACTTTGTTTTCAATTATTGTCGTGTTAAAGGGCAAGTGTATGGCCATTGCTTTTCCTCGCTCGGCTACTCACCTAATTTGCAGAATGACAATGAATCTTCTGCTAGAACACGGGAGGATACACGGCCAGTTTTTGTCTTTTGTGCATGAGGCGAGTTATGGAGCGAGGGGCAAGTTTTTTTTGAAGCCCAACCAATTCAATTACCTGTCGAATCTGGACAGGACGGCCTTTCAGGCCTTTTTTTATTTGTCATTATAGTATTACGGGGAACCCCCTAGCAGCCACATGCGGGAGCTGCACCCGCCAGCAGGTGCGATACCTGCTACAGCAGGTGGGCGATACCGGCCAGGGGTCAGCCGATAGCATCAAGACCGAGCTTCTTCGATGGGCCAGTCACTGTGCCTCCCCTCCGGTTCCCTCCCCCTATGAGCATCAGCAGTCTCTGGTCAATGCCACTCGGGGGAACCAATGGCATATCTCTAGGTGATGGGCGCCAAGCATGCCCAGGAAGGTACATGAGGCCAATGGGGATTGAACCCAAGACCGCCTGAATGCCATTTGCATGCCTTACCAACTGAGCTCGGCGGCTGGATGAGGCGCAAGTTCCCCGCCCACTGGCGGCAGAATGACAATGAATGTCCCGGTAGAGCATGGAAGATAGACTGCCATGTTTTGTGTCTTTTGTGCATGTGGTGAGTATTGGAGCCAGGCCCAAGTCCCCCACGCACGGAGGAGATGTCCGTGAACACCCAGTGATAAGCGTAGCTTGTCCTCCTTTTCTTAAAAAGAGGCTAATTCTTTAAACCACCAGTACTTGGCCCATACATTGGCTGCGGGGCGTTGCCGTTAAAGCCCCACAACTTCTGGAGGCTCGGGGTACCGGCCCTCAAAGGCTAGCGCCGCCAACCAAAACAAGTTTTTTTTGTTGCGCTGGCAGGTCAGCGCGAAACAGAGCGCAGCCCGTTTTCAGGCTCCGCGTAGATAGCTGGGCGAAGTACTGGTGGTTTAAGCCCAACCAATTCAATTACCTGTCCAATCTGATGAGATGTCCGGGAACATGAGATGTCCGCGAACACCAAGTGATAAGCC